GTTCAGTACAAATGCAGTTTCTTCCCAGTATTTTCCATCTGTGGCTGGTTGGATCCAAAGATGCAGGACTATCCAAGTATTCAGAGGACCAATTCTATAGTTTAACATTTTCTAGAAGCAGTATTACTTCTTTTAGTAGAATTACTACTTTTAAAACAATTCCGCAATAAATGGAAGCCATCGTAAATAGTGTCTTGAGGGGATGGAGGTTTATGAGTAATTTCCTAAGCAGCAGGTACACCCAGGCTGCAGGAGCTCTGGAGTTTTTTTAAGTGGGACGTAGTTGACAAAGCCTGTTGCTCTAGAATGGGCAGACTGACACTGACCCTTGTCTACATAGGAGGTTGCTCACTTTTCACACGTCTCCTAGTCTTCATCTTTCCAAGCCTGCTTTAGGTCTCAGAGTTGTAGAAAGGTACATCAGAGGAGGCCAGATGGTGAAATGCTGGTCCTGGGGGCTCCGGGAGAGGTTTTAGTGGGTGTCCAGCAGTCCCCTGACTCACCTGGTCTTGGAATTTTCTGAGAACCTTTGTATTCACCTTCTAAACCTGGTTCTGAAACTCCACAGATGGCATTGCAGTATTCAACAAATGACTTCACTCCCTGAGCCTGTTTCTTGATCTGGAGAATTGGTACCAAAAGGAGAAGCATTTAGAGCCTTTCTTTATTGGATGGATGAGTGGATGGATGGATGGGTGGTTGTGTGAACCATTAAACAAGACCAAGTTTATCACACTTCCTCTAGGGTTGACACATAGTCCAGTGCTAGATAAACTTTTCTCTTTTCTTCTCTCTTCCTAACAAACACTGATTACTCACTGAATACTAAAATGTCATCAGCGTGGTGAATCTAGTGCAGTAGATATTAAAATAAATCTAAATTATGTTAAGGAGTCCACAGTGCAGCTTTGTCTTGTGATGATAGTAGCAAATGTGTGTGATTTTGAGAATTGCACAGAAAATAAAAGCCACAGCAGACCCCAGACTACTGCACAGTGGTAGATGTGTTGCTTGCGAGGTGCCTTTTGGGAACCATTTTAAATGGTGGTTGTGAAGGAGGTGCTGTGTGCTAACACAGCACGGAGTGCTGAATGGTTGCATTTCCGCTTCCTCTCCAAGACACCTAACACCGCCACACCCATCCGCCGGCTGGATGCAATGACCACTTTCAAATATGAACGTGATGGTGTCACTTCTCCACTTAGAACCTTCAAATGATTTCCTGCTTCACTTAAAATAATAACCCAGCCTCTTTTCCTCGCTATTGAGTCTGGGCTTGATCTAGCCCTTGGCAGCCTTTCCCTCCTCTTTGTCTACCATTTCTGCCTCACGCAGTGTGCACCAGACACAAGCGCCTCCTTCCTCACATCTTCAAACTTCCAGGCTTTCCTCTGCCCCAGGTTTGGCTGATACCTCAGTGCTTCTCCCTGACCAGGCTCCCTGGGACAGAGCTGTAGTATCCGCTCCTCTTGTTGCCGTGGTGTTTTCACTCCTTGTGTATAACCAATCTGGTTTATATATTTGCTTTGTTTGCCTTTCTTCTCTTCTCCATTGGAGTCTAAACTTTATGCTTCATTTCTGGAACACATTTGTTTAAATGTTCAGTAAACAAATAAGCAAATAAGCATTTGTTCTTAGCTTCAGTCCAGCGTGAATTTTAAGACCAAGAGTCTGCCAGATTTTCATCATGTTGTGCATATCCGTCTACCTTCTTCCCTCACTGACCACCATTGCCTGCTCTCTGCTCCCTTTAATGTCACTTCCAAATTGCAGGTGAGCCCTCTTTTTTTCATCTTGGATAGGAGCTTATAGGCTGTCATCTCCAAGTAGATCCATTGTTTCCATTCAAATCTTTCCTTAAATCCTTCTATCAATGACAAAGTTTTCTGATACTGGTGACCTCCCTCCAAGGGAAGAGTCAGTGGTTGTGATACAGTGGCTGTCTCTCCCCAGTTGGGTTTCTCACAGGTGGGGAAGTTCCTAACATCCCTTGTAGGGACTTCCTCCTATCAGCAGGCCAGTAATAAAAACCACCAGGGCTTCTCTTGCAACATTTCGTAGTCAGCAGTCTCTTGACTGAGGATAGTACGTACAAACCCAACTTACCTAATTCAGAGAGGGATAAGAGTCCAGGGGTGTCCATGGAAACTGGACAGCAGAAAGCACATCTGGGTTTTGTAAGGCTCATATGTATTCTGTGATTAAGCAGTCAGTAGAGAGTACCAGCACTAGGTTTCTGGGAAATAGCATTGGATTGATACAGGTGGTGGCCCCAAGCTTAATCAGATGTGGCTGGCAGAGGCCTCCCTGAGGGGTATGAAACAGTTCTCGGAGCTGTGGGTTGTGCAGACACACGGAAGGGCATGTACTATGCCCACCCCTTAGAGACCTTTCCAGGGCTCTTAACTGAGAGTTGCCACATTAGGAAAGAACACCTATAGGAAAGAACGGCCAACCGTGATCTGGAAGGATCCTGGAGGAAATACGGGGCAGCAGGGCTTTTCTTTAATGAAGAGCAGCGGGATAGCTAAGGAGGTGAGCGGAAGTTTATTTATCAGGATGGAAGGTGGAAGAACCATCTAGACTTAACGCCACTACTGCGGTAGCTTAGACATGATGGGCCAGGGTAGGGAAAGAAGTGAGGAGGAGAGGAGTAACTAGGCCATCAGGATGCAGCAGTCCCATGGATCATGCTCTGGTGTTCCTCCTCCTGAATTGAAGCTGCAGCATTACCACTTAGCCTTTCTGGACCCTTGTATTTTTAAAGCAGAGAAAACCAAGTAAGATAATGCATGCAGAGTGTTTAGTTGGTACCATATTAGACATGTAGTAAGCACTCAGCAGTTATTAACTCATACAATAACTGATCTCTAGAAGAGTATAACTGCACCTCCCTGCCCGCTAGAGAGATTCTGGGAGTGCTTAGAACATGTTGATAAGAGGGCTTCTGCATGAATTTCTCCTGGCCCCTGGTACCTTGATTTCAAGGTTGAAATAATAGTGGATTTGTTTTTAACCGTCAGTAAACCACACTCATATGCTAGCCAGCCAAGGAATTAGGGGACTGATAACTTGTTTTTACATAACTAGAAATGTACATAAGAGAAGTCCTAAATTAATTTAATGGATATCTTCATTTAACATGTTGGAATATGTGCTGTTAGGGCAAACTCAAACCGTTAAGCAAATCAGTGGATGAAATCTATCTGGACCAGTTGGAAATGCTTGGAAATTGTTAACCAGTAATGATATATTGAGGAAAGAATACCTTTTATATTTCTGTAATTGTAGGTGTCTTCTTGCAGGGGGATATATCCCTTTCTTCAGTGTGTAGTGAGCATTTTATGTGCATGAAGCTTAACACCCCTTTAGCTATGTGTTTCCTTTGATCCCTAGCTTATTAAAATATGCAAATCTAAATTGTATCTTATTAATGTGATCCTTTGTCTTAAAGCTGTGGGGGGCTAAAATACCCTTTTTTTTTTCCTCTCTAACATATTTGGATTTTTAATGTGCAAAATAGGATGAGAGCTTGATTTTCCGCAGGACATATTTTCTAATCAACTGTTATGAAAGTTTTTTTTTAATGTGTAATTTCTTGCTTTCTTGGACTTCAATGAGATAAAGAGTAATGACTTCATTGTTATATCCCAAGTATTCTCAAGCATGTCAAGACTCTTACTAATTTTCTGTAACTTCTCCAGTACAACAGTGACTGTATCTTACAGGAGTATTCTGGAAGCATGTTTTAAAGATGTGGCTAATGTTGAAAGTAGTTGATCCAGGGATTTGCTGGTGCCCCCGAGGCTCATGGGGTATGTGCATGATGACAGAGACCAGCCACCTCATCATCTTCATGTGAGCATCAGTCTTTAGGGCCTCTATGTCCTGTTACAATTTACTTTCTTAAAAATAAAGCATTTGAAATTCAGTTTGAAACCAAACTAAACACCAATCCCATTAGCATACAGATGCATCTTTCTCACTCTTTCCATTTCTTGTTGTCCTAGCTTGCATTCTCTTTTCCTTCTCCCCCTACCATGGCCCAGAATAAGCTTTCTCTTCCTATGTAATGATTCTTTTACTTAAGATCAAAGCTAGTTATTTCATCATTTTATATTTATGAGCCTGTCAACATGTACCCCCCCCCCAGTAAAGTTTTTTTTCTGTAACAGTCTTGTGATGTGGGAGTCTTGGCAGGGTAGAAGAAGCAAGTGACCTGGTCAATGATAAAACTAATAATGACCAGCACTATTAGCACTTGCTATGTGCTGGGCATATGCTATCTCCTTCTAAGGAGAAATAGCCTTTTAAGGGGATTTGTACTATTATTTCCATGTCCCCATTTAACAGGTGAAGTAATGTAACCTGATGTAAAGTGACCTGCCAGGTTCACATGGTTTTAGGGGTCAGAGTTGGGATGCAGCTCCAGGGGTGTGGTTAAGAGGCCGTGCCCTTGACCACTGGGCTCCACTCGTGGTTATTGGCTGTGGGAAGGTTTGGGTTCTTCTCCCGACTCTACCATTAGCTGGCTGTGCGGTTTCAGGCACCTTGCTGCTTTCTCCCACTTTTTAAATTAGACATGTTGGAGTAGACTCTCTCTGAGATTTCAGTTGACCCCAAATTTTGTAATCTTCAGTAATTATTTTAAAGAGTTCTAAGGTGACCCTAGAAAACAATGGGCAAATCCCCCCCCAACATGTTCTTTTATTATCACACTGGATGAAAAGCACAGTCAAAGCATTCCAGCACTCATTTCTCATATTTTTCATGTTAGGCAGAAATTGTTAAACTTCATATTCTAAAAAAGGCTCCTTGTGGCTTTTTGACACCTCCCGTAGTGTCCCCAGGAACGGATATCTGGGGGAGGAAGGCTTGGAGGTGGAATAGTGGAAGGTCTATTTTTAACAGGAGACCTTTGCAGTGTTGCTTCCTCCTCCGTTGTCTGCAGCTCTAGGAAGATTGCAGCTCGCCCTCATTCACAGATATGGCATCGTGGTTCATAAAGGAAATTTTCTCTTGGCTGCTGTTGAAGTATTTTACAAAAAGAAGTTTGATGTGCTCTGCGAGAGGATGGCAGGTGGCAGCTTTCTGTGTCATTCTTTGACATGTACCAGCTGATGTGAAGTGACATGTGGTGACAGAGTCACGCTTGGTGCGAGCGATTTCTTTTGTCTTGATAAAACAGGTAGCCCTTGCGGTGGGGAGTTGGCAGTAGAGGCACGAGCTGGCCTCTTTTGGAAGAAAGGATGCCTCTCCACATGCCTTTTTAGATGCAGTGATGCAGGATGACCCTGAAGTTTCCAGTGGTCTCACAGATGTGCTTGACCTTTGCTTTGGTGACTGAGAGCTGCCAGAGGATCCAACAGATGCCCTCCTTCCCCCGGGGCCAGACAGCTCTGTGCAAGCCATTTCTGCAGATCTGCCCCAGGCAAGTCCCCAGGAGACCTCCGGATGCAAGCACCAGGCATGTTCTCTGTATCTCCTAATGGAGTATTTCAAATATACACACAAATGTAAACAGTATAACTGTGCACACAAATATCCACAGACCCATCTGATCGCTCTCTCTGTCTCTCTGTCTCTGTCTCTGTCTCTGTCTCTCTTTCTCCTTCTGTATCCCCAGATCCTCTGGGATGGATTTAATGTAAAACTAATGAAACTTATGATTCTACCTCTCCTTCCACATACCATAGTAGAGACCCTAGCAAAGTGTTTAACTGATCATTTGTTTTCTAGAACATTTGTAAAATTTGCATGGTAGGAGACTTTTATCTGTAATGGGTGGGCAAAGAGCAGTGTTTCGTCCCACTCTGACCTTTCCTTCCTTTCACTTTCCAGCAGGGTTAGACCGGTCTCAGATATTTGAGCATCTAGCTAAGGGGAAATTGAGTCTGAGGATACGTTCAATTTGCTTTCCCAAAACATTTTCATGGAGCTCCCGGTTATTCTTTGTTATATTATTGCTGGAGGTCTGAGAGGGGCACTGTAGGGTGGCTTCCAGGATACTCAGAAAGGTATAGGATCAGAGATCACAGAGGAATATGCCTATGTATGGATGCCCACGCTTGGTGTTTTCGGATATTAGAGGAGAAACAGTTCACAATGTACAGAGCTAGAAGCCAGTCTGTGGAAAAAATTCAAATTCTAAAATGTAGCAAATTAGATAGAAGAAAATTATTCTGTTCTCACTCATACCTACTCAAATTGAAAATGTTCTCCTGTCAGGAATGTACTTTACGCTGTAACATATACAGCTATAAATACATCACACTTTCCAGTTTGAAACTTTACATCCTTTTTCTTAAAGACAGCCTCTTATATGACGAGTGCTTCTGGCCCCAGAAAATCTCAGGTTCACCTAAATATTGGGTTCTGATCCCCGTGGTGTTCATTCCTTTCTCACGTATTTTTATATGCTCACTTCGTGTGTGTGTGTGTGTAGATAGATAGAGGTAGATATATACATGTGATAAAAAATAGTGAATGCTTAAAAAATGTATTATAGTAAAAGACACTGCTGTTAATTCTGCACAAAATACCTCCCCCTACTTTAAACACACTTATCCCAAAATTCTTGGCAATGTGTCTTTTACTGTAATCAGTTTTTAAAAATGTAGACAATCACTGTATTCCTCAGTCTACCTTTGTATATATATATATATATATATATATATATGTGCTGTGTGTAACACATTTGTTTTATATATTATATAATATATATTATATATAATATATATTTTTATATATATATGCATTTACTGTTTACTTGGTTTTTCAGACATTGTTTTATTTTTATAGTGATCTTGATACACAATAGTTGTTATTCCTTTATTTTTCACTGCCATTTATAATATTTCATTGTGTTGATATTCCATAATTTGTTCGTCCTGTCTTCTGTCAATGAGCATTTGGGTCACAACTGTGACTAACTGGAAGCAAACAATGTATAGAACATCTGTACTTACTCAGGTATGTGAGAAGTTATCTATAGTTATCTTGAAACTCTTGCTCAGATATTCCCTAAAAGAATTTTGGAAACTGTGCCTTCTCTTACATTTTTCAGTTGGTGTCTAAAATATTTCAGCATAAGTTTGTATAATTTGAAAGAGTGTAATTTAATTATTGTAATACAGATCTTTAAAGAGAAAAGTAAAGATCACTCTTTTCAATGAAATTAGTGAAATGAAAATGGTATAATGATTTATTTTGTGTAGCATCTTTTTACATAATATATTAAGATTTTTTGAACATTTAGCTAAAAAGTTTATATCACTTTTTTTTGCTCTCTGAACGTGAAACGCAATATACTTTTACATGTGACAGTTTCTTTTATTGATCACTTTATCATGCCTCTCCCCTTTCCATTAATCAATAGGAGTATTATGTGATTTCTGGAAACTATTATTTTGTTATTTTGTGAGTTTACATATCTTTTCTCAATCTGTGATTAATCTCTTTGCTTTGGGATTATATTTTGTTGTAAGTTTTTCATCTCACCATGGTTAATTTATCAGAGTTTTCTTTATGTTATGTTATTTAAATATATGATTTATTTAAATGTTTTTTCCTATCTCAAAGTCATAAGGATAATCTATTTTCTTTTATACATTTTAAAGGTTTTTAATTCTTTCATTTACTTAGAACTTATATTTTTTCTTTGAATATCTTATTAATCTAATTTCATCTTTTTCTAAGGAGATATCCAGTTGTTGCAGGGATGTTTTTAATTAGTTCATTCTTTGACAACTGATAGTTTCTGCCAGATTCATATGTAACTATGAATATGTATTCATATATATTACATTTAATATATGCAGAATTCTTTGAGTATATTTGCTTTTTGAGTTCTTAATAAGAAGGGGGTATACTTTGCTTAGCTGACATTACCTTGCATTCCTCCTAGGTAACCAACATAGCATTTATACCATATCATTTGTTTAGTCAATATTCACTAATTTAAAGTTAATTTTAATGTATAAATTGGGTCTGGACTAATATGGGCAAGATTTATATGGCCTGTGCTGATATAAAAAATAAAAATAGCACAAACACCATGAATGAGTGAATGGTGTGATGGAATTATTAAAGCACATTTACTATAGCTTTGATTACACTGGCTTGTTATGTACTTTTGTGTATACTGACAATTTATCTTATTAATGAACTTAACATTCTAGGACACCATTTTCTTTCAGCAGTACAGTATTTCTCAAAATGTGGTCTAGCAGAATCACAGAGCAAGAGTGTGATCCACTTACTATATTAGACTGTGTTTTTGTTTTTCCGGTACCAGGAATCAAACTCACAACCTCACGCTTGCCAGGCAGGCGCTGTGCCGCTGAGCTAAATCCCCAGCCCTTAGACTGTATGAAAGAGATCTTCCCAGAAGATACTGTGTTCAAAGAAATCTAGGACTCACTGGTTTGACAGGCTATCATTCGGATGTTGGGATGTCCTATCAAACAACAGTGAGGAGAGAAATTCAGGTTAGCATCCTTAGCACAGCCATCAACACTTGCAGGTCACACAACTTCCGAAAAATAAATGAACACTGAGCTAGGATTTGGATACTTGAGTCTTTAAATTCCAGTCCTCCGTTGAGGTGACCTCCAAGAGAGGAAGTAGAGAGAAGGAGAGAGAGAGCACATTCCAGTAGGACAGGGAGCCTTGCCAGCTGGTATCCTTTTCTCTGTATAAATTTAAATAACATTCAGGTAGCAGTTGCAGTGTGATTTTTGTCAACAGCTCAGAGCAGAGCGACCCTGTAAGAGATTTGGCTTGAGGTCCTTGTGCGGAAACTGCCGTCACTGCTGTTTGTAGGTTGTCTTGGCCACTCAACCAGTTGTTCACACCGACTGCCCGAGGGTTAGTGGATCTATCAACTTATGCTGAAGGCAACCAAGGAATTTGATTCAAAGTCATCTCTCAGTGTAGTCCGTAGGCCCTTCTAGATATTTATAAAATAAAAAAAATAGCCTTGACAGTTCCAGTTCGTGTGAGTGGTACTCTGCCAGAGTTTGAAAATCCAGCCTCAGGACGAGCTTCATCGCGAGATTCCAGAATACTCCAGCGTTTTCTCTTTGCAGTAATTCAGTTTGAATGAGAGCACACTAGGAGTATATAAACCATACAGCTGGTGTAAGCAGGGATAAAGCTGAGATCATCCCCAACTCTTCTGTGTGGCACCACCATTTTTTATTTCATACTGCTTGGAACTGAGAGCAATTAAAGCTCCCATAGCATGAAATGTTTTCATCAAGCAAGGCATTAAAAATACCAGCCTGTCAGAGCAGGAAGTGGACCCGTGCTTTACTGCAACTATTCTTCGGGTCCACTAGGGCATGACATGGTGAATAGCATTCATTTCATGCAATGAAAAAAGAAGGCCAACTTTGGCTTTAATCTTTATTATGAGAAGTCTAGTCCCTGTTGGAATGTAATGAGTGGATGCACCCCATTTAGCTTAAAGTAACAGATCTATATAGAGTTGTTAATTTGTAGATAAATATGGGTTTTCTACTGTTGATGTTTCTTGATCCACACAAAGTGGTTATATTAATACTGAAACATGATTAATCAATAGTTTGCTCTTTAAAAATACATCAGTAAGACTACCCAATTACCTTTAAGTAGATATCAAAGGGCACAAGCAATCTGACACACACTCAAAGTCCATTAGAAGCCACCAGACATATTAATTAAAATTTTTAGTTACAATGAACCTTACCCTGTGGGTAAAGAAAAAAAAAATTCTACTTTTGGTAACAGATAATTCTGGCTAACTGAAAAGAGGAAACTTGCAAATATAATTATGGACACAAAAAGGTCTTGGGGATTTCTGAGACTGTGAAATGTAGGGTGACTTCTTTTTACTGGAGTCCAGTAAGAAAAAGGGCTTGCACTCAGGATTGTGAGCTGAATGCGGAGGGCTTCTCTCCCATGTGTTGCAGGGAAGGAAGGAATTCTCAGATGTGACATTAAGCTTTGCAGAGGGAAATGGTTTTCACATGGTGCAGGTAAAATCTCACTTTAGATGAAAGCACAACAGAAGGAAACACCAAGACGTGGCGAACACAGCTCTTTCTCTATCCTGTGGCAGTCAAGTGTCATTGAACTTGATCCTTAGGGTTGCGGCAAATCCTCCCCAAAGCCCTCCACCCCCAGGCATCCCAGGCTGCCTGGTCCCTGCCAGCTTAGCTGCCATTTTTACTAATAGAAGCCTCCACATTTTTTGTTTTGTCATTTAGCAGCAGCAAGAATCTTCCCTTTCAAAGTTTGGTTCCCAAACTGTTGATGTTTCTTGAGGTCCTTGCATGGAAACTTTCTTGTAGCCCAGTAACATACATTTCTTGTCCTTGAAGACCTACATAATTAAACTATTCATTGGCCTGGCACTCAATGCTGACAGAGTCCAGCTGCTTAGAAAAGAGGCAAAAGAGGACAGAAGGCCAAGGCAGACAGGTGAATCTGTCCCCCCCCCCCATCCTTTGTCCTCATGTGCCAAGTTACATTTTGTCAGGAGAAAGAGCTTAAGTTCTAAAAGTACAGGCATATAAACTGTAGTATTATGCTCACTAGACAGAACTTAACAACCAAGACCTAGATGCCCGAAGAGTAACTTGCTTTCCTTGGTACCAATTCCATAGCTTCCTACATTTCTAATTGTGTTACTTTGTCAGTAAGGGACAGCCTCATCACATTTGAGGGGACAGTTAGAAGGAGACATACCTGAGACCTGCAGTGAAATATCACATATGTCCGTCACTCCTTTTGGAATATACCCCCTCGACACACACAGACATTTCCTTGGCGTCTCTCCCTGAGTCATTATCCAGCATGAACTATCCACTGAGAATCCTGTGAAGTGTAACTGATTGTCATTCAACGCAAGTGAAATCTTTAGGTGAGCATTAGTCACTGTTCAAGACATGTTAGCTTCAAGTGGAAGCAGTCAATTATAGACTAGAGGTTTTATGGCTACATTATTACCATCATACTATTAGGTTTTCAGCAGTAGCATTCTGTTTGATCGATCTGTCCCAGGACATTGATGGATAGCTTTGTTCTTTAAATGTCAAATATGTGGGACTTCTGTACTTTATGTGTTTACTGACACACTAATCTCCTCTAGATACCTTTCCCCCCTCTAGTGTTCATCCTTAGCAGGTGACTGATTCCATTCTTTACAAGACTGTAGGGCTTGTAATTAGATTTATAATTTCCTTTCTATTCTCTCTCAAATGCAGAAGTACTTCTGAGTTATTGGCATTTTAAAGAAATCTTCACCACACAAAGAGGATGTCTCATTGGTGTCAAGAAATAGATTTAGACATCTGCTTTATTTTTTTTTTCCCTTCTAACATTCAGATACCACATTAGAATGAATGAACAGTTTCAGGGTATATGTTGAATTTTCCAACTATGGCTCTGCATTGTTACGGTATTTGGCCTGTCTTTCCTAAAACCACATATATTAGATTTTCTTACAAATAGATTCCTAAGTCAAATTTCTGTCCTACATAAACTTCAACCTTCATCACTTTGAACTCCATATGTCACTAAATACAGTATTGTTCTACTTATAAGATGGAGCAGATCTTTTCGTGTAAAATCCTTCAAGGGCTTGTAGAAGACACTGAGGGATGGATTTCCTTTCAGTAAAAATGAATAGCTCTTAAATCTGGTGTTAAAGGTTATCGGTCCTACACAATAAATAAGCTAGAAACTTTGAGAAAGCCTTCTTCCTCACCCCAAAAGCCAACTGAATTTATTCTTCTTCTTTATTTTAAATTCAGACTTCTTGAAAGGAACACGGTGGTAGTGTCCCACTCCTCTCTCCCTGCTCCTACCGTAGGAACCGCATTATGCCATATTTTTCACCTCGGGAACGTTTTTAGTTCCCTTGGGCCACAGGGAGGAGACTGGCCAGTCTTTCCTGGTAAGGGAGGCAGCTCTAGACACATCAGAGGAAATTATCAGGAGCCATTCATTATTCATTTTTTAAGGCCAAAAGGTAAAATCTAATTAATATCTGTGTTTGGTAATACTGTGGTAGGAATGTGAAATCACAGAACTCTGGCTTCCTGTGATTCCCTCTGCGCCTTAAAACACAATTTCTTGTGATACCCAGCCTCACATATTAGTGCAGGGGATGGAGCCAGGCCATCCTCTAGGGCAGAAATCCACTGTGGCTTTCATCCTTCCATCACTTCCCACAGAAAGGTAGCACAAGTGGCCATTCTGAAGCTAGCGTTCCCTGCTTCTCTTGTCCCTGGTGCCCTCGCCAAAGGGTGACCCTGTATCTCTAGTGTGTGCCGGGTGCAGAGTACAGCATTAGCAGCTGGCCTGAGCCCGGCCCTTGTGCTGAATGTCACTCGGATTTCTCCAGGCACAAAGCTGATGGAATCATCCTGACCTCAACACTTGCTTTCAACTTCAGCTTTGCCCAGGGTTAAATGTAACTATTCAACTGGGCATTTCTCACAAGAACCAGCTAGAGTAAAGATCCAAATAAAAGGCACACTTTGAAGCTTGGAATTTTCGGTAGAGCTCATCCATTTTAACTAAACTATTCTTGCTATTGACTGAGTAAATAGCTAGGTGAAAATGGCAGCTTCTAGAAGGTGAGATTATTCTCATTTAGCCCTGGGCTCTTAATGTATATGAGGTCCCCATAATCAGGGACACAAACATACGTAAGTGACAAATGTGTGTGAGAAATGTACATTGTAGAAGTAGCCAAGCATGCTGTGTTACTCACCTGCCTGCACGGGCTCACAGCATCCTGGGGACAGGAGCCAGGTGGAGAGCACCCCCAGGGAAAGGTGGCTTGGTGCCCAGCATCATGAAGATGTAGCTGGATTTCCTCTGCAGTTCTTGCAGGAAATAAAACCATAGATTAAGTTGTAGAGTCACAGTGGAGGTCCTAAGGAATTTTAGTATAGAAATTCCAGGGTTTGACTTGGTCCTTGAGCTAATTGGTATAGTCCCTGAAATGGGCATCTAGCAAAAGTCATGCCAGGGCTCAAGGGGGTCAGTGTATGAGTGTGTTTGGAACCAATTTAAAGCTTGAAACAAAGTGAGCAGGAAGGCTTACCGATGGTCCATTAAAGTAAGACACAAGGGCTCACTAATGCATCTGATGATGGGTGTGCATTGATGCCCACTCTGCTGTCTGCTTCCTTTGCAACTCGTAGGCTACAGGGGCCTAGGAGAGGGTGTGTGTCTGTGGGGGTGGGTGCTACTAGCTTCTTTTGTCTTAGCCCACCTTGGGGGTATATGGACTACAGCCACCTGATAGATCTTACCTGGCCTTAATGGTGAAGTTACACCTGAAGCATGGGCAAAGAAAACTGTCTTGTCTACAAGATCATCAAAGAATGAATGAGCGAAGCACCTGTTGTGGATCACATTCCTGAAAAGATGACTAGAACCAACTAGAAAGTCAGGATTTAACAGGAAAATCAGTGAAGATGCAGGTCAATACTAAAAGGGAAAGGTTTAACTTAGCTAGCTAACACTAAGTCTAATGAATATCTGGGAGCTGTGTGAAAACAGATTCTCACGAGGTGGTTAGGTTCAGCTGCTGCTTGAAGGGACCGCTGAAATGCTCAAAACCTGTTTACACAAAAATATATCATAATCTTTACTTGGTGACCTAACAAATCTCATTAACCCAACTGGACAGGGAACTTCTTGAATGCAACAAAACATTTTTAAAAACATATAGAATCCAGAATTCACATACCTGAATAATTAAGATGGGCATGTCTTCCCCTCTGATCTTCCACAATACCAGCTTCACTACTCTAGAATTTTTGGCCAACTAGTGATTTTCTTGACCAGAGGTGCCCACAGCTTCTGGCTACTGTCTTTTATGAACACACATCCTGTATGTGCAAAGCACTGCCATTGTTGTTCGTGGAGCTTTCGTTTATCTTCCCAAAAGAAACAATGAGCTGAAGCAGATGAGTGATGGTTTCAAGGCTGTGGCGAAGGTAAAAGCCACTGCAGGTGGAGCAGCTTAATGGGGTATTAATTGGGAAGCAGGTGAAGGCAAATAGGTAGCACAGCAGGTATGTAAATAGGCTCGTGGGAGGAAAGGCATTGAATTCTATGCTCTTTAACTAAAAATAAAGACCTGATATTTAGCTTATCTTTGCTGAAATCCACACTGTGAGGGCCCTGACAACCACCGACATCATCAATGATTCATTATTATCTCAGCATCATCCGGGCTACTTAATAGGGTCTTCAGCCTCTTCTTTCTTCATTGTTTCAGTGGTTTCCTTGGCTTCAGTGTGCATGCTTTTCCTCCCTCTCTGTGTATCAGAGGCCAGAACAATTGCAAGTTGTGCAGTACTAGTGACATTGAGGTCTTTGCCGCCTCTTCTCTTTCTTCTGCCCTATCCAGTCAGAGGAAGGCAGCAAATGTACGCTATGACAGTGGATAAAGAACCTACCAAGAACACACACCTTCAAGTAAACGTTCTTCTTCCAGGCAGTCACTTTGAAAAGTGAAACGCTTATTCCAGGACTATCTTTGGCTCAAAGTGATTATTTTGGGAACTGATGTATCATCACCTATATGGAAAAAAATCTCCTTACTTACATTCATCACTTGTTTTCTGCTTTTAAGCATTACCCAACATCTCCTACTTTATTCTACACTCTTCATACCTAAATGACATTCAGCTTTTGAAAACCCATCCCTGTATCATTCTATATTTCTCTTCCAGTTAGTTCTCTTTGTAGCAATATGTTGGTGGAAAATGAGAGAAAATTTGGATTCTTTCTTATTTGGCTGGCCCACATTTGTTATTTCCTCTGGGGAGAAGCAACATTGGTTTTGAAGATGTATTCAGCCTTTTACATGGAAATAGCTAAATATCAGAGGAGCTTGCACAGGCTAAATATTAGTAGAGCTATACTTTGTACTCCATGAAATGAATTAGGTTTGTGTTATCATGCAGATCTTTTCCTGGAGTTGAAACACTCATTAATTCTACTGCTAATGAGATGTTAGCAATTAAATACCTTTAATTAATGAAAATCAGACAAAACCAAGGGCTCTTTTCTGAGTCTTTATAAACATCGGGAAAATATTTGTAGATCTCATTGTGCATTTTTGCTGTAAAAAGGACCACAAATCTAAGCGAGTTTTCTGGTTCAGAGAAAGTCATTAATAGATTTTAGTTTTAGAAAATAAAAGGAGTGGGCATCTTTGGATGTTATAAAGATTATCTGAGATTGGAAAAAAAAAGATGCTCGTAACTGAGAGCCGGTCCGACATGTAATAGCAAATTTCATGGTTGAAGATGCAACAGGATTGAGCACAATTAATAGTTCTGTAGCCGTCGTTGAGTTCTGGGGTAGGCCCCGAGCACATAATTAGATTATTAAAAATGGCCTGTCTTGGGCCCACTATTACTAAATTGAAATCCAATTATGCTTTTATGATTTTGCTGAAAAATATTTAGCTGTTTTGCCTGAGTCCTCCTAGAAGATCATTTCCTCTCCGCATCAGCATTTGCACATGTCACAATACATTTTCCAAACAAATCTGACCTCAATTATCTCAGAATCAATCTTACATTAGATAAAATATATTTTAATGAGTGTTTTTATGTCTAAGATCATATTTGTACCTCGCCATACTTGAGAAATTAAAATATGACGATGGGGATCTTTGCAGAAAATCTTTTTAATAGGAGGAGACATGCATGTTTTAGAAATAACTAAATTGTGCTATCTTAATACTGGGAAAGGCATTATGCTCAAATATGTGCCTGAGCTTGCTGCAAAAGACAAAGTTGGTGCAGTTTGCAGTAATTGGCACTGGAATGGTAATAAAGCAGTTGTTTGCAGAGATGGGCTCAGAAATTTCATGCACTCCTGCAGTGTGGATTTAAATGCTAAGTTAAATATTTATGAACCTGAGATTTTTTATAATTGATCATTGTATGATTTATACACTGTAATTATAATTAGGTTGAAAGAGATTTTAAAAAGCTAGTTTCCTGGTAGCCAAGGCCATTAAATAATGCTAAGCTGCCAAAATAAAAATTGGATGGGAACCCAGCCACCAAGTTCGAAGTGCCTGTCCCCTTATTTGCACACAAGTGAGACACAGCACCGTACCGGGCACGTCTCCTGAAGCACTGGTTCTTGCACCACCTGTGATCGTATTTCGTGCCTTTGATTCAAACCCAGTTGCACATAAACAAATAGAAAACTTCATGGATCCAGTGTATAACAAAGGAAAAGGTGGAGGAGGTTGGAAAGGTTAATTAAAAATGTAATGATCCCATTTGCTGAGACAGCACTATTAATCATAGTGCAGCAGCAAGCATGTGACTTGCACACCACTTATAGGAAACATCTAATTTTTTTAAGGTATAGAAGGTGGCAGCAGTGGGGGATGCAGGCAGGTGACACAGTACGTGCATTAAGGCAATGGAAGTGTAATGGATAAAGCTACTCCTTGACTGGTGAATGTTGAGAACCATCTTCACCAGACAGAAGAATTCTCTCCAAATTTAGAGATACTCAAAATGATTTCATTGCTGTCAGCGCCAGAGAAACTTGGGTATGGCTTGAGGCTTAATGTAGTTGGGTGAGGTATGAAAGAAAAAAGCAGGACTAGGAGGAAATTCATCATCGTGTAATACAATAGGTCTGAAACTGTGTGTGGATTACAAAATGCACTGCAAACAGCCAACACATGCATTTTAAATGTAATTTTTAGCACCCCAGCTGGAGAAGGCCAAGCTCTTGAAGGATCGATTACAAGGGTCATAACCTGGATGATCAGATTTGCCATCTGATCCACGTGGATATCAGATCAGACTTTCAACGGGAGCTTCCAGAAAAGCTTGTCTACCCCTGGGAAGATCTTGGCACCCTTTGCTCATTTTTTATTTGCTGGGATAACACATTAGAGAGAGCCTATTAGAAGAAGAACAGTAGTTATGTTAACATGGTAATTAATCAAGTCAGAGAGAAAGAAGGAACAAGTTGTGAATTCAGTTCTGCAACCCTAAAAAAGAAAGGCACAGAGCTATCCGGAAATTGGCAAGCCTTTGTAACAACATACTCTCCTTGAACTTTCTGCTTAATATATCACATCTCCTGCAGATTTGAATATATGTACTGCTTGATTCCACTTCATAATCTGTAGAAATGGGTCTCCGTTCCTTGCATGTATGTTTCATCCTGAATCATTTCAACTGGCTCCCTAGCACTGGTGTTTGCCAATACTGGTGGCATTTCTAAGTGTAAATAATGAGGGGCTGCGGGCCGTGGCGACAGCCTTTTTGATTTGGGACAGTGTGAGGATTGTATTTGGGATGAAGGCAGTCCCTTGCTCCAGAGGAATTTAGAATATGAAAGCTTCTCCTGCTGCATAATTTATCCCTGACATCTCCGCATCTCCCTGTGTTGAAGGGACCTTTACATTTGCTCTGCCTGTGGTTCAGGATTGAAATCATTGGTTCATGGACCCTGTGGAGCAGCAAACAGCTGAGAAGCCAGTGCCTTTGTGTGCATAGAGCCTCTGGCTCAAATTTTATTCTGTCTCTGATCATAATTTCATCCTAAATATTTGATGTTATAATCAGAAAAGGCCAAGTAGAGGATAGCCATCAAACCAAAGAATCTTAAAGTGTGAAGGAACTTCAGCTATCTCCTCTTACAAGTGGGGCAGCTGAGATCCACAAGGAAAAGCTGGCATTAAAAGGCACTCAGATGATTGGACCATATTTAAAACTCAAATCTCCTGCTTCCAAATCCATTGCTCCTTTCGTAGCACTTGACTGTTTGTATTCCATGTTTTGGGATCTGGCTCTCTCATTTTGATGAATTTTATCCCTGTCATGCCACAAAAAACAAGGAAGTTGCAGTCAGATGCCATCCCAGACAGAGAGGCTTAGAATGCCGCTAGAGAAAGCAATCTGTAACCTGCAAAGTAACGACGTGGTTGTGTCGAACTTGGAAATGAAAAGCTGGTGAAATGGCATTCTCTGTAATGTAGTGTGGGTCCTCACTGTAGAGGAACACATTAACTGAGTGCAGCCCACTCGCGTATGCCTTGCCCCCCTCAAAACAGATTTCTAGTAAACAGCCTTTATTCTGAGAACACTTCCCATTCAGACAGCGTCCCAGACATTCTACCAAGTTAAAGAATGAATAACAGCAGATGGAGGGAGAGATTAGAGTTGGAGGGGGGGGAAGCAATATCATAATGCTGAGCTCTGAAATGAGCTGTGGAGAGGATGGCATTGAAAGTTATGGTGAAGCTGTTCTAAAGCCTTCCCACACAGGCGACAAAGCGTTGTGCCCAGATCGTAAAGCCCAAGCCAGCTCCTGCTCCTCCTGCGAGTGTGAGCTGGTGGAGCCTGTGTGCGACTCTGCTGGGGGTAAATCGAGTTATTCTTTCCTCTCTTCCCTCTGCCCCGCAGTCACTGAAGTAGCAATTCTGTGAAATAGGGCATCTATTTCATAGATGTGAGGGATCAGACAGAAACTCCACTCACATGTATATGTCTTCTGTTTTTAGGAGTGTGTCTTTTGACCTGCATTGCTGCAGTATATTCCTTGGCCCAAGGAGAAGCTAGAAGTGGGTTTTTGAGGGATGAAGGAAAGAGGCAAAGAGAGAGCGGGGCTGAGGGTTACTTTTTATGTTCTCTGTGACTGTCCGTATGAGACCTTATTAACAAAGTCATGGTAGGGTATACATGAATCTCCTTTTTTCTAATACTTTTTAATGAACATTTATAAACATACAGAAGAGTAGAAAATATTTTATAGTTAACACATTGCCAGCTCTAAAACTCTATCATTAACATTTAAATATAGTTGCTTTGTTTTATTATTATTTCTTGCCATGGGATTTTACTCATGGGATTGAATGTAGCGCCTTGCCTATGCTAGGCAAGCACTCTGTCAGTGAGATAACGTCCTCGGCCCTGAAAGATGTTGCTTTGTGAGCATCCATCTGTCCATTCCTCAGGGATCAGTCCACCTCCCCTGAAGGCTTCAGCACACATATCGTCAACCAATGTTCAATATTTGTCCAGCTCCTTTCAAGGCAGTGTTTACGTGTGCACAGAACTTAAATATATGCTTCTGTCAGGATAAAGAACAAGA